CTAAAATTGTTTAAATTAATGCACCATCTTTTTCTTGGTCTGCCAATACTTCTTTGTCTATTTGGTGATTTATCTCGTGCTATTCGTACTATCATATCCTTTGCCATTCTACTAATGTGTTCGTTCCACTCCTGTTTCCGTTTTGTCACCCATCCATTTATGTATTCTATATTGCTTGCTTTTCTTATGTTATCGCTTCTCTCCCTATTCAACAGACTTTTCTCTGATATTCGTCGGAGTATTTTCATCTCTGTTGTTTCTAGTAGTCATCTTCTTTTAGATGTATCAGGTCTTGTCTCCTCCGTGTATGGTAATATAGGTTCAATTGCTGCTTTAGATTCTTGTTTTTGTGTCTTGTCTTAGGTGTTTGTTTTTCTAGATTGTGTCATTAAGGGATCTTGCCACTTTACTTGCTTTTAATCTTTGTTGTCTTACTTATTTTTCAACATCTCTGTAACTAGTTATATCTATTTCCAGGTTTTTTCTAATGATATTATCATATTGTATTTCGTAGCTGTTGTATTGAAGATAGATGTTAATCTTAAGAGCTCGTCTTCTGCCTCGGTCTCAAATTATTGCGGCGTTATCTGCATAACATAATATTTGGATTTCTTTGTACCCCATTCTGTAATTATAACCTTTACGTAGTGCTTTTATTTTTTCGTTCATGATTATATTAAAGAGAAATGGGCTTAACAAGTCACCCTGTCTGACTCCGCTTTATACTGGTATGGACTGTGTTAGTTTTGCATTTATCTTTGCCTGTATTCGATTATGGAAGTAGATGTTTTCGATGGTTTATATACTATTGATTGGTATGTTTCTTTTATACAGTAGGTGTAAGACATCTTCGACTTGGATGCGATCAAGAGCCTTTGTCAGGTATATAAAACATAGATATGCTGGTTTATTGTACTCGATGAACTTTTCGATGATTTGTCTTAGTACAAATACGGCGTTTAAGCAGGATCTTCTGGATCTGAATTCTTGTTGTTTATCTGATAAAGTTGTTAGTTTATTAATTTTGTTGATTAGAACTTTTGTAGTAGGTAAGCTTAAGTACGGTGTTCGGTAGATTTTTACATCTATTATTGTTGGAATCTTCTTTATCTAATTTCTTGAACATTGTTATCATTATGATGTTTCTCTATGCGTCTGGTATCTTGCAGTGCAATATTAGTTTTTAAATAAGTGTTGTCATCTCTAGAGTTATACTTTCTCCTTGGTATTTTAAAAGCACGCTGTTACAAATTGTCAACACTGAAGTCCTACTCAATTCTATCCTTGAAGCCCATACATTGGAATATTTGCAAATGCTGATTTACTGTGCACCAACAGCAATTGCTAATGTTGCATACTAACTGCAATAAAATCAGAACTGAAATAATAAGGACTTAAAACTAAATTGTAGCCTGGAAAAAACGACTGCTCAGGAAAATTGAATTATTGCGGAATACATTAGACAAGTAAAAACTCAAAAAGTAGTTAGAAAAGCTAAAGCAATAATTAACTAAGAGATGCAAAGATAGCAACAACCGAAAATGCGACAATATCCTTTTTGACCATTGAGAGAAGGCTTTGTAGAAGAAACTAAATTCCAGTGTAGAATTTAAAAGAAACCTTATCCAAGCCAAAAAGAAATTCATGAGTTTTGAGGAAACCAACTTTCGACGGCAGCTACTCATAACAACAATGCTGGATGGATTAAAGACAAGACGAACAACTGTCAACACTACACGAATATTTCCTATAAGCCTTTCACCACTGAAGAAGTCTCGAACATTATCAAATAGCTTTATAACTGGAAATCTCCTGAAGCAGACGGAGTTCCAAACCTTCTGGCTAAAGAAGTTTTGGAGTGTACACGACTTTTAAGAGTATTAATTAATCATGTTATTTCTAATCCGCAGGAAATACTACCATTCTTACTCAGGGAACCACTTATTTAATATCGAAGGACCAAAATAACACCCAAGTACCGTCCAAGTACTTGTCTTCCAACTTTATACAAATTGGTCACGTCTTGTGTAGCCCAGCGTATCTACAACACATCATAAAGCCTCAACAGAAAGGATACGCTAAGGGTTCCATGGGCTGCAAAGAACAAGTTTTAATCGACTCAGTCATTTCCAACCAGGCGTACACCAAAAAATGAACCTGTTCACAGCCTTCATTGACTACAAGAGGGCCTTTGATTAAGTACCGCATAAACGGCTGATTGATATATTGAAAATATATAAAGTCAATGATTATGTGTAATATTGTGATCTTTTCAAAGCATATAATGATGGGGTGGAAGACTAAAATTCACATTCAAATATCCGGTGAAAACAACATTGAAACTGAAGATGTCCCAATTAACCGGGGCCCTTTCCAGGAAAACTCGTTGAGTCCTCTTTGGTTCTGTTTAGCGATGAACCCACTATCTCAGCTACTGAACTCCACTGACTTAGGTTTCACCAACAATATTGTTGTGGCGAAGCTTAATCATCTGTTGTATATGGATGATTTGGAATTAATGGCTTCCACTCAAAACCACTTAGATCCGATGCTAAAAACTGCAGAAACTTTTTCTAATGATATCAGTATGCATTTTGGACTAGACAAGTGCTGTATACTAAATGTAGTCAGAGTAAAGGTTCAGCCCGGAAATTTCGATATGCAAGATGGTCAAACATCGAGGCAATGGGTGAAAAGAATATGTACAAATATTTTGGATTAAAGCAATCACGGAAAATTAACCATAAACAAATGAAAACTGAACCAACTTCTGAGTTCGTTCCTCTGCATGGGCAACATCTTAATGAGATCAGCCAAGAATATGTCGAAAATACAGCGTCGAATTATTGGTTGACATCAGGAAAGATATTACCCGAGACTGAGGATTTTTTACTCGTCATTCAGGATCAGGTTATTCCAACTAAAAATAACCTGAAATATATTGTTAAAAATCCTCAAGGACCGCATTGTATTTACAGACCAACCAGTGGCACATAATAGACTGGATCGCATACTAGTTGATAAAATTACTAGGCAAACAACAATTATTATTGATGTGTCGATACCCAACACTAATAATTTACGTGTTAAATACAATGAAAAGATCGCCAAGTGCAAAGATCTGAAAATACAAATCAGGCGACAATGGAGAATGGAAAGTACGCAGACAGTATATATATATATATATATATATATATATATATATATATATATATATATATATATATCCCGTGCAATAGCGTAATCCTCCTTTTTTGGGTTCCCGTTCACCAAGCCTATTCTGCCAGTCTTCTTATAGATTTCTTGCTAACATTGCTTTTGAAATTCTTTGCATCCATGTTGTTGGTGATCGTCCTCGTTTTCTTTTCTCTGGTAGTACCCATTCTAATATTCATTTTGGTAGTCTTTCTTCCCCCATACGTCTTACATGTCCGTATCATGTCAGTTGTTGTTTTTCTATGTCTTCTATAATTGATCTTTGTACATTCATTTGATTGATGTCCAGATGTGTACGAAAATTTTTGGGAGATACTCCAACATACCTAGTCACCTAGGGCTTGATAACACGGAAAGAGTCCCACCAGAGCTTAATCCTTTTGATACCTTAGGTATCTGGGATGATTGAATTTTCCCCTTAGAGGGAGTGTGAGCCGTATGGCTAAATCTGGATATTACTTTTATTTTCATTATTTTGCTATACCTTTCCTCTGACTATATTTACTATACGGCACTTGTCTAGATTAAAATGCATACTGATATCATTTGAGAAAGTTTCAACAGTTTTCAGCATCTGATCTACGTGGTTTCGAGTGAAAGCCATTAATAAATTTCAAATCATACATATACAACAGACGATTTAGCTTTGCCACAACAGTATTGTTATTTTTGATGATAAAACCTGAGTCAGTGGAGTTCAGTAGCTGAGATAGTGGGTTCATCGCTATACAAAATTAAACTGTAGTCTTCCACTCGGTTACTATAGGCTTTAAAAAGGTCACCATATTATCATCGACTTAATATATTTTCATTATATCTATAAGCGATTCATGCAGTACTGAATCAAAGGCCTTTTTGGAGTCAAAAGGCTGTGAAAAAGTTCCTATTTTTGGTGTACACCTGGTTGGAAATGACTGAGTCGATTATAAGTTGTTCTGTGCAGCCCATGGAACCCTTAGCATATCCTTTCTTTTAAGGCTCTATGATATTGTTTAGAGAACAGTGTTGGTAGATACGTTAGGTCACTCAGATGAGACCAATTTGTACAAAGTTGGGAGACTAGTTATGGCGCGGTACTTGACTGGATCTTGGGTGTTATTTTGATCCTTCGGTATGAAAATTGCTGATGACAACTATAAGCTACACTGGGATCGCACTGTGCTCACAGACCAAATTATATCACATAATAGACCAGATCTCGTGATAGTTAGTAAACTAAAGAGACAAACAACACTAATCGATGTGTCGATACATAACATCAATAACGTGCGCGTTAAGTAAAATGAAAAAATTCACGTACAGCAATCTGGAAATGCAAATAAGGAGACAATGGAGAATGGAAAGTACCCAGGTAATACCTATTATTATTTCTACCAGTGGAGTCATTCCGAAGAATCTCCTAGAAAACATAAAAATACTGGGTTTAAATAAACATCTCTATAAGATCATGCAGAAAGCTGTGCTACTCTCGAGATCCAGATGTCTACGAAAATTTTTAGGAGATACACCGACGTACTAAGTCACCTAGGACTCGATAGCAAGGAAAAAGTCCCACCCGAGCTCAATACTTTTGATACCGTAGGTATCTGGGATAAGCAAATTTTCCCTTTAGAGAGAATGTGAGCCTATGGCTAAATTTGGATAATATTGCCATAATATACAATAAAACTATAAACGACCATTTAGGCCATTTGATATCACTATTTTCATTCACATTTTGAATGAAAATTGTGATATCTTCACGCTAATATTAGCATTATAATAAAATTAAAAACCAAGCATTTACATTAAACTTTATTGATAGCATAATTCTATATTATAATACACGCATTTTTTAACCTTGAGCATATGGAGGTTGGCTGTTAGTTTTAAGGTAGTAGGGACCAGAGGCACTGAAACAAATAAAACCAAAAATTAATAGTTATAATTATGACTTAGAGTATTTTTCATACTAAAATTACGTTACGTCACGATATGTATATACTAACGTCATTTGTATTTAAATATTCCATAAGCCATCAGATATTGTTAAAGGTATTGACAGAATGAAGGATAGATCATCTCTATATTAACATAATGAAATATATTTACTAAAATGCCACAGCTAGCAAGAAACAAATTCTATATACAGAGCATAGTATCAACATATATCTGAACGATCATATAATCAACAAAAATGGAGAGAAGCTCAGTCATTTGAGATTTGCAGATGAGATCGTCCTTATAGCCGATCATATGGATGATGCAATAATAATGGTTAAAAAATTATATTACGCTTCCTTGGAAGTCGGATTAGAGATTAAAATAAACAAGACTCAAACAGTATTTTCTTCTACCAGCAGCTTCTTTTTCTTTTTCTAAGACCAACAATCCAACCTCTGTCCTATCAACTCCCGAGTCCCGTAGGGTAGTATTCTACGGCCGCTGCTTTTCTAGTCTGCTCACTCTAGACAACCGATTTATCAAAAATTAATAATTCTAGAATCGCTTTCTTTGCTGACGACGTAGCACTACTAGCTGTAAATGAGGATCCCATACAAGGGTCTTAAAACTTGCAACATCATCTAAACATATTCAGTGATTCAGAACGAAATCAACTCAAATACCATTTACCAACCGTCACAACATATGCCCATCTCTAAGAATGGAAAATGTAAGGATACCAACAATAACAGACGCTACATATCTTGGCTTCCATCTTGACCAACCTGTCACTTGGAAAAAAGATATGCAGACCAAAAGAAGGCAGCTTGACTGAAAATTCCGGCAAATGTATTGGCTCCTTGGACGTAAATCAAAACTTAACACCCAAAACAAAATTCTTCTATACAAAGGCATACTCAAACCTATCTGGTTAACGGACTACACCTGTGGGGCTGTGCAAAGCCAACGTCGCTGAATATTATCCAAAGATTCCAGTCTAAAGCGCTAAGATCGATAGTGGTACGTACATGGTACGTAAGTAATCAAACACTTCACTACGACTTAAAGATTCATTTTATCAGAGAAGAAATCCATCGAGCCACAAAGTCACAAAATTAACGTACCACTCACCATAAAAATGAGCTAGTAAGGGTCCAGTTACAAGAAGACTAGATAGAACCTGACCACAAGATCTACTTCAAAACTAAACATCATTATGTCTCACCTTCGCACCTAAAACCTGTAGCACATTGACCTAATACTCTGTAATGAGGTAGATTGTCAATAAACAATTATAATATGATTATAAAATTTATTATAATTATAAAAAAAATTCATAAACGAAATTTGGAAAAACTAAAATTCTCCAAATGTCTCGGCGAAATCGTTAAAGCCGTTTAAAAATCATTACGTAGAAACACATTTAAATTTGATGTATGCGAGATGATAATTGCATCCAACATTCCAATGTATGAAATTTATTACCCTAGTTTTAAGCTCTTTATTGAAAAGCATTTTAATAAATCCTTACCGGAGAAGAGTTTTTTGAGCAAACAACTTAGGAAAAATGCTGAAAAAAAGGTCGTAAATTTGGGTTGGCAGTTGTTAAAAATGCAAAGTATCGCAGATAAAGTAAAAGAGAGCTATCGCACAACAACGTCAGTGGTTTAAAGTATCAGTTGAGTAACTTTTTAGAGTATGTGTCTGTAGATATTGTTATTCTCACTTGTCACAACACGTTTCGTTGCGTGCAAACTCTATTGTACTTTGTCTTTGATACCTCGCTTTTTAACCTCTGACAACCCTAATTTGGAACCATTTTGCGACCAAGGTAACTTCTTCTTCTTCCTTCGTGTATGTAGGCTTTAAAACCTGTTTCTTCTTCAATATTATTATTTTCTTGGTCTGTCAAGACTTATTCGTCCATTTGGTGACTTATCTTGTGCTATTAGTACTATTCTATCCTCTGCGATTCTACTAATTTGTTCGTTCCACTGCTGTTTTAGTTTTGCCACCCATCCATTTATGTCTTCCATATCGCATGCTCTTCTTATGTTTTCGCTTCTCTCCCTATGTATCAGACTTTTCGCTGATATTCGTCGAAGTATTTTTCATCTCTGTTGTTTCTAGTAGTCGTCTCTTTAGATTGGTGCTTTACAGAATCAAAGCAGTATGACTTTGCGTTTTCCAAAAGCTTCCGTTGCTGATTCTTCAATGTTATTTTTAATTTTCTCCCAGCTCGCGTTTATATCTTCCATGTCGTCTATTTGTTTTAGTCATATCTTCTGTGCTAGCCTCCTTTGGTATATTTCTCTTGTAGAGTAGTTCCACAGTGATTCTATATTGAATGTTTCCAAGTTG